TCCAAACATCTCTCCCATAGCTGAAAGAATTTTGAAAGCATTATTATGTCAAAATTTCTATCTTTCAACACTAAGTAGCACAAACTTTTGTCCGCCAATACGGATTTGAACCGTTCGTGGTTAACTTCAATCGGATAAACTTTTTAACAGTTTAGTGGTACTATTTAAGATTTTTTAAATTTTTCCCCGATCAGGGGGAATATACCATTTTTGATTAATTGTTTCCTTGACATGTTTATCAAGGGCGCAGCCATTTATTTTTTTTTATGTTTCCCTTAACATATCAGAGGCACTAGCCATTTAAACATTTACGATTTTGATAATTTTTCCCTGAACTTGTCTACCAGGGGCGTTTGCAATTTCAAATTTACCAATTTTTCAATATTCACCTGAACATGTATATTAGACCGATGCAAAATTTGAAATTTTCGCTCCACAGTATTCAAACGGTTTCAAATCGGGTCCTGATTAGTCTTCGACAGTTTAAACTCATTTGATAATAAACTGACTTGGCACAAACCTTTTGAAGTTTATATGGAAATTACTATGGGAAACAAAACTTTTTGTTCATTGTCTTCTAACCTTTTTACATATTATACTGTTAACGAATTTTATTGCTATTCTTATGGGAATTTTTATCAGCTACAACTTTGCAGAAAATCGTTTTTCAGCCAAACGTCAATATAAATAGTTATTAATTGTTTAAGAGATTGATAATCTTATGGCAAGATTAAGCAACTGTATTGTGGGCAGCACTGTATTCTGCAGTGTGACATAGTAGCCATGATTTTTGTCCTCTATTCTACGCGCCATAAACACCAATGTTGCCTGCTGAACAGTTGAGTGAGCATAATCATAAGACATAAGTGACTTGAATCATTAATCATTTTTGTTCCTTACGTTTGATCCAAAAATTGTTGTAGCTTAAAAATTTTTCAACAAGCTTAGCTATTATTTTCTAAAGTAGAGTGAACTGGTGAATTTTGAGATAGATATGAACCGAAATTATGGTTTCTCCATAGTAATTCCCATATAAACTTCAAATGGTTTGTGCCAAGTTAGTTTTTCACTAAATGAGTTCAAATTTTCGGATTCAATCAATTTGGAACCGTTTGAGCACTGTGGAGCAAACATTTCAAATTTTGCATCAGTCTTAGAGGCGCTTGTTACTTCAAATTAAACATTTTTTAAATTGTTTCTCGATCTTGTTAATGGGGGCGCAAGTGTTTGAAGGTAACTGAATTAAGTGCAAAGTATTTTTAAGTTTAACATTTCAGCTGAGATGTTGGTCTCATTGAAACGTGTGTAAATCATTTTTTTATATTAGATTGCTGTAGTTTTCCTATTTTGTAAACTTTTTTCTGGTTTGGAGCTAAGTAGTCATTGACTACCCGCGGCTATCCATAACCACATCACTGATTATACCGTATGGATTACTAGGTCGATCATTGTTTAACCGAAACTGAATTTTCGGTCATACTTCGGCATATGTTTATGATGCCCTCCCCATGGACATGGAGGTTGACGGTACTGAAGCAAAGGGTTATGTTTAATTTCTTTACATTTGCAACGATGATGATTTCCTATAGTGACACATATCACCTTCTTAATGCTTCAGTATGCCTAAAACGATTAATTCTTGGTTGTTAATAGAACTTCCTTGATGCAATCGGCTGAGAGGGCTTATTAAAAACTTCTCACCAATAAAGTAATGACCTTCTTGTAAATTTTGCATATAATTTTATTATTATTTTATTTTATTTAAGCATATATTTTTATTACAGTCAATTTGCATTAGCATATGATACAAGAGATTTAATATTACTTGCTCGTTTTTGCGTAAAATAATCAATATTTATTTTACTTGTAGTAATTACCTTTGAAAGTTTTTTTCAAGTTTTTTTTTGTGATCTGAAAATTTACCCAGTTTGGTTAGAAGTTTCGAAGCTAACGCATGTCCACAGGCCTAATAGAAAGATAGGCAGAAAAAGTGTATCATGAAGAATGGTTGCATGTAAGGTTGCTTCCACTCACTTGCTATAGATGAGTGATTTTCGGAGTTTTGAATTCGTTAGATGTTGTAATGGAGATTTGTGCTGTTGGATGCGGGAGAAGATTGGAGGGCGGGTGTTTGACGCATAGAGCCTGTCAATTTCGCTTTCAGAGTGTCGCAGTCAGCGGTTTTATGATTCGTGAGCGCTCACGATTCGTAGAATCGTTGATTGTGACTGCAAGTGGATTTTACTGGTTGTGTGTGTCGGACGCTTGCTTTTTGGCCTCTTCTTGTGTCTAACATGTGCAGAGTATCATTATAACGTCTTATAGTTTTGAGATTCCTGGTGGCGTGAAATATATTTGTCAGAATATCTTTTTGAGATTTTAGCAGTCACGTTTTGTTTGTAGTTTATATTTTATTTATTTCATTTAATTATCGTAAATATTAGTTATTCAATAATAGATAGTTTATCCATATATTCGTAGTTTGACGCGAAGCGCTGTGGATTATAAGATGCTCGATGACCCTCGAGGGATCGATTTTGCTTACTGAGCAGAAAATCATGGATTTAACCCCAAGCTCTTCCACAGCACAATAAATCGTCCATCATTTGTATATTTGATATTGAACATTAACCTCAGAAACTATTTGCATATCAAGCGAAAACGTAGTCCTGTATTGTCGCGAAGCGTTATGGTTCTGAGATGCTCGATGACCCTGGAGGGATCGTTTTTGCTTACTGAGCAGAAAATCATGGGTTTAATCCCAAGTTCTCCGTCATGACTCTTAACATTCATTATCACTAAACAAAATTAATATGTTCTTTCGATAGCCGGCTATCGAGAGATTAAATAAACAACAAATAAACAATACATACTTTTGGTTGCATCGCCAACTTGAGGTGAATCCTATCCGAATACCCTACCCAACCCTCCAACTCCGTAGCACTTATGAGGGTGTCGCTAATTCGGTGGCCTCTCGTTAAGTAAGTACTACATCAACATTTCCTTCCCTATCCCTAGTTATGGTAAAGATGGGCGTGGCCGGGAATAGCGACAGTCATGCTTCTGTTACTCTTGTTTAGATTGGAACCAATGTTTACTCCTCAGCATTATTCCTGAAAGTAGTCTAACTGAGAATTTCAGAAGAGACGTGAGTGTCGCTAGTATCCAATCTACGAAGTATATCATAACAACGCTAACGCTAACTTCGGCATATGTGTATGATTTTGTATAAAAATACAACATGTTTATAAATAATGTATCCAGGGTTCCAGAAGCAAACAAAGCAAGACCATGCTGGAGGTGGTTGGGTTCGATTCCCGGTCCGGTCTAGGAATTTTTTGGGTGGAAAATTTCTCGACTTCCCTGGTCATAGAAGTATGATTGGACTTGCCACACAATTATACCAATGCAAAAATGGTACAGGCATCGAAAGCTCTCAATTAATAACTGTGGAAGTGCATCTAGAATACTAAGTTGAGAGCACGCAATAAGCTAATATGCGATATGCAATTAGCTTGAAATGCGGATAAGAAGAAGAAGAAGAAGAAGAAGATTTTTTTAGAAACAAAGTTCAAGCTATCCCATTCAAATGATTGATAAAGCTCCCGTCATCATGCTCAATAACATTAGGAAGAAAGCCAGAATTAATAATTAACCAGGGTGGAAAAGCGATAAATTGGTTTAACGAATTGTTTAAGGAATTTAAAGCATGCACTTTGATATCACACCAAAGTGGATGCACTTCAATCGTGTCAAAAATATGGTGTAATATTACTTGCCAAAATGGACAAAATTATCATTAATATAGTGCATGAACTGACATTACGCTGCTTTTACTGCATTTGTTTATTTTTGTTGCCTGAAAAATTACCTACACTAAGAAAATTTCAAAGATTGTTTTCATGTGTCCCACACATGATTTTTTGCAATGTGATCAACAAATGATATCTATGTGTCGGACACATACTTAATATGTGTACACATAGAAGCTATGTGTGACCACACATACTATTCATTTGACACATAAATTTCATGTGTACTTCTGAGTGGATTCTGTTTACATGTGGTCACATGAAAATCAAGTGGAATTTCACATGGAAATTCGTCAATAAAAATGTGTGGAATTTTCTGAGTTTATAAGATTTGATGAATGATTGAAGTGCCTCCTCTGGGATGTAATAAGGGAATTTACGTATTCTCGTCAACCTAAGCAGCGAGCATCTTTCTATAGCCTTTTTCTCTAAGGAACGCACACATATACAGTGTTGGTATGTTTACAATCGTTTGCTGCCAGCTGCTCTAACAATTTCACTCGAAAGAATTGTCAAAAACTGTTTTGAAACGCTTTTACAAAGCTCCAATCTTCTCAAGTGAGAGCGACTATTGTGGGCAGCATCTTTTTATTCGGCAATCTTTCTATTTGAGTTGCGTCTTAAACAGCTTGTGCTTTCATCGGCAACTCGAAATCAGCAGCATTTTTTAGTGCGTTTGTTTCATTTCAAGAAAACCTTGCTAGATTGGTTTTTCTCAGTGGTAAAAATATAATTAAATTGAAGCTAAAACCCTAAAGAATCGTTTGAATGCATTCAGCGAAGTATTTTCGTTAAAAAATCCAGTGAAATAAGCGTTTCAATTTGGGTTGCCAAAAACAGTCAAGCCGAAGCCGTCATTTCCCTTATTATTATTTTTTGCTGTGCATACTCTGGTGAAACTGAGTGAAACAAGAATGTAAACAAACTTTATGAGAGTCATGGGGGCTCGAGCACTCCTGGACCAGAGTTTCAACTGAAGAAGAGCAAAACAATTGGCTACTTGAGAAAATGTTCAAGCTGTTTTCAATTGGCTTGCAAAATATAATCATATACAAATCAAGTCATCCTCAGGGTGGTAATCTTACTCCATCTATCCTTCTGATAAGTTTACAAAGTCTTATGAGCTCAAATTAAGTAGATAAAAACGGTAGGACCACTTTCTGTCATCGCAATAATTGAATACCCGCATACGTACTGTTTTCACTGTAACAATTCAGTTTTTGCATTTCATTTTATTGATGATCTGGACTCGTTTGTTGACTGCACTTTAGTTCGCTTGATAGTTACAGGGAAGGAAAATATTAAAAACTCTATTCATTAAATAAATATACATTTAGATAACATTTTGCAGTGTTGGTAGTTTTTCTTTTCTTTTCGGTTCATGCAGTTTTGAACGCTGTTCAGGTTCGTCACTTTACTTGCGTCGTCATCATCGTATCGAAACAAAAATTTGCACATGTTTTGTTTTTCAAGCGATAGTTTTTTTTCTGAACTGGGATAGTTTTGAGAGGGGACAAGAAACTTGGCAATGTAGTTTTAGTTCCTTGCTTTTGTTTTCTTTAGAGGAGAGGCTCTTAATGCTAGAAGATTTATTTTACTAAAGTCTACAGTTTTACAGACGAATGCCTGGGTTTGTGGCAGCCACGTAGTTCAGTAGTTCCTCGGAATCTTCGCACACAACCGGTTTTTCGTGATAGCAAGCAACGTCGTGCCATCCGATACCGTCATTGTACACGTTGTTCAGCACCGACAGGCAGGATTCGGTCGTCTGGTTGATGTCGAATTCGGCATTGTCTGGCTGTGGGATCTTCTTGTGACCGGACTTGCTCCATGGATTGTAGCCCCAGCCGTTGGGGATCTTGTTCGAGGCTGGAATCTTCTCGCGGTTGTTGGACCAGAACCATCCGTAGACGCTCTTCGGTTCCAGATCCGGGCGGTTTTCGCAGCCCTTGAAGTCACACAGTCGACCGGCCGTCCAGATGTATGGGACATCGTTTTGCTGGATTAGACGGAAGATCAGGTTGTTCTCCTCCTGGGTTTCCAGCGAAACCAGATCCATGCAGTACTCGCGGCAGATGTTACGGCCATCTAGCCAATCAACTCGCTTGTCAGCCAGGGCGGGGACGTGGCCGCTGTAGAAGTAGTTGTGTCCGCGGTAGTTGAACTCCTTCGGGCCTGTTCGGAGGGAGGGAAACGTGAGAACAAAGGTTTTATTATAAATTGAAATTTAAAGCATTCGGAGGGTAGACGAGAAGGTTTTTCATGATTAAATTGAGGGCAGCCTGGCCGGATCTTACGATATAATGTCAGTCATTTTTTGCTAGCAAAGCAGGCAGCAATGCAGCAAATGTGCAGCATTGTCCATTAAAAACGTGGGATCTACTTGCGACACATTATTGCGTTGCCTCGTAAATACTGTTGTCATGAATACCGGGTGCAACTTAGCTGAATGAGATGCATTTGAGAAAATCTCAAAACGTACCTCCAAACCGTCATCCATATCTCCGCAACTCCAACTAGATAAGATACGCCGAACAGTGATGCCAGATTTCTTTGAGGTAATTCCGTAAATGTCAAACTTTTGGAAGTGATGAGCGGGGGGTCGGAATTCGGCAAGGTGCAACCATAGAATTCCAAAGAAAAAAGTATGAATCCGTAGATTTTGCCTACGGATCCGTAATCTGGCGTCGCTAACGCTGCATGCAAAATATTTATAAATACAAAGCGGTAATCAGCATTTTTTTGTTGCGCGCAAAGAAAAGCGAAACCAATCGAGCAATGGTGAGAAAAATCTTCATGCATCCGCTTGGGCACGATGTGTCAGAGAACAAAAAAGAAAAACAAAACTTAATGGACGTTTGCCCTGCGATGTCGAGTGAGGTGCGCAGGGCAAATCAAATCTGCGCGCAAGTTTCGGTCCCGGTGTTGTGCTTCGGCCTGAATAGGTAGGGTGCAAACGATTAGGGTAAGTGATTAATGTGAAGTTTGGTCGCGCATTCGCGATAGCCACCGGCACGGGTGATTTCAAAGAATTATGATTGTGGGAACGGACGCTCTGTGGAACTGCAACCGAGCGCTCTCGATTCGACGTGGTTGGTTGTGAAATTGAGCATAAAAGTTCTTTTTTTTTCGTCTTTCGGAAGGCAATGAAATGAAATTGGCTATGCAATAGTAACTGAATTAATTTGTTGAGGGAGAATGAAATGGATCGAGGTGGGAGGTCAGAAAGGTGTAATTGAAGCTCTGTTGAGATACTTTTGATTGTAATTATTGATCGCATTGAAACTACTGTCCCTGTTGTGGAATTCAGTTGCCTGTGATAATCAAGAATGATGTAAAATTGGGTTCTTTGAATTTGAAAGGCTGGTGCATTTGGTTTAATGTTTAAATAGGGGATTTGGTTGAAGTTTTCTCATATACATCCAAAAGCGAATATCTCTATAAAACAACTCGGATTCATAATGTAGTCTTCAGCGAAGTGGTTATTCATTGTTTGAAATACAATTTTATAAAAAACTGTATCAAATCAAGAATAAGGAAACTTTTTTATGATCGAGATGGTGTAGGTGTCATTTTTCATGTATTTTATCCAAAATCCCCATACAAAATTCAAACTAAAAGCGCCAGCTCATCCCAGAACCAAATAAACTAAAATTTTCAGAGAATGGAGAAAGCTTTTGCCTCCCCTTGTACCTTAATAACTGCAAGAAACTCTTAGAACACAATGAGTTTCTGTAACATCGGCTTAGAACTCCTGTGAACTTTGATAATCTGAAAATTATGTTATTCTTTGATTGATACACCTCCAGACATGAGGCTTTACTGTCCAATTGATGATTTATTTTGACCAGGATACTCCTCAATCATTAAGGGATTTAGAACTATTTTCGAGAGTTGTATGACCGTAGGAATTGTGATATCAAATTTAAAAATAAAATCAAACAATATCAAACTTTAAGTATGAAAATGAAGCTAGTCCTCCTGATGTTCAGATGCCTGCATTGATATACCCAAACCAAACTGGGGAAATGGGAGCTCTTGAGCTCTTGCAAATTGAAGATTACATAAAAAACCATATTGTACGTGGAATGCATGGAAGACGAGCTAAAACGTGATCAAAATAAATATTCCGTCCTGCTTCATGCAAAATGAAAAAGGTCACATCCCTCACTCTTGTAAAGCAGCTCACGTATGCGCATTTTAACCTTTCATTAAAAGGGAAAATTTTACAGTTTTCTTTGCAACGGTAAACCTCAAACGATACTAAATCGGTGGCCCATTGCGTGACTTGGAAAAATATGATAGTTTAGTCTTTCAAGCTGTATGCAGATTTCAAAATGTGATGATCCGTCTTTCGATGGACTCTTTCACAAACAACCGCCGTATCGCACGTCTTGAAGAACGGACTCACCCAAAATTTGCATAAAGTTCAACCAACCTAACCTTCGATGGTGAAATTTTCGTAAGTCGGACGACCATCAAAAGCTTAACTCATCATCATCATCATCATTGTCATCATCGGGCACTCATTGAGACCTTAATCAATCAGATACCGCCACGAGACCTTCAAACCCCGATGGCATGTGGCGGTGACGTGGAGGGACAACCACATTCGTCATTATTATCGATAGGCAGGGCAACGTCCTACAATCTGTTTCCACCACCTCCATCACACGACAAGTGGAGTTGCGAATGGCCTGCAAACAAATCGTCCGACCAAACGTCAACGATGGCGGCATAATGCATAAATTATGCCCGTCACTGCTGCTGCGTGACTATGAGCAACAATACGATTTACCTACGAAGGAATCATGCTTATCTGCATACATATGATATGTGTTGCGTCACCGAAAGCCAGGGACTGATGGGGGTGATGTATTTTAAATCTTTTGTTTTGTTTGTTTGTTGTTTTTGCACCTTCAGAAGATGATAATTTTCGTAAGTCGCATTCACGCAGATGATGCGAGCTGCCTACCGGGCACCTGAATAAGAGGTGGATGTACGACGACAAGTCACAACCAACCGCTGAAAATCTCATTAATAATTAATGAAGCACTTGAACTTTTCATCCACACTCAGCAGCAGCAGCAGCAGCAGCAGCAGCAGCTAGTATAGGTAATACATGTTTAGATGCAGACATACGTTGCTGATTTGAGTTTGCGGGTTCATGACTCGTGTACCTAGAAGAACATCTTGGCAAAGCTTGAAATGGCTCTCTACACACCAAATTTAAGTTTTCATTATCAGTAAAACGAATTGCTGGATTATGATCAGCAATCCAATGCTTTACTGAAAAACAGCAAACGATATTTTTACCGAAAAAATCAGCTAACATAAACTAACACCCAGTCAAAGAGCTGTCAAACTGTTAGCATCACAGTCGCAAGTATTTTTGCATTCGTACACCACCGGTCAAACACACAGCACAATTTTGCTGATTTTCAGCGATTTCAATTTGGTGTATAGGTGCTGGTGTTATCCCATAGGCCAATTTATACCTTTTCCACGCATGAAAGGGATGCGATATTAAGAATATAGATTTTAGATTTCAGGATCATCTTCAACATTGTAAATGACGGTTTCGCCAATACCATTACCTATTATCGTCAGAGTGGTACATAGACCCCTAGAGTGCTCATTTGACTCATTTGAGTGCATAAGAGGCATGGCCCTCTCTCCCTACATAACCCTCACCATCTCTCCCCAACAGGGGAGTTCGGTAAAGGAGATGATCAACCCGATTCGTGCCTTCCTCAAAATTGACCTTTGCTCGCTTTCTACACTCTATATACAATTTTCACACTGCCGTACTCTAACTCTATACTTTCATCTCCTCATCTATTATAAAAATGACCACTTTAAGTTTGATATTTGACGTTAAGCATCTCCAACTATTTGACGAAGTGCCCTGAAGCTACAAGTAAAACGTTCATGAAATTTCTTAAAATTAAGCAAAGTTCCTTTAGCTTCATCAAAGTATCTAAAACTTCCATAAAGTTCCGAATTCTACGAACTTTTCCCGAATTTTTACAAAGCTCCCTGAATGTTTTCGAACTTCTCTGAAGCTCTACGAAGTTCTCCAAATTTATATTGAAAATCTTAAATTTTAATGATGTTCCCTGAACATCTACAAAGTCCTTGAAGCTTCAAAAAGTCAAATGAAGTTAGAAAAAAAAATCCTGAACTTCAAAGAAGTTTTTTGAATTGCTACGAAATTTAATTTGATTTAAGTCTACTAAGTTCGCTGAACTTCTATAAAACTTTCTGAAGTTTTACAAAATCCTCTGTAGGTCTATTAAGTTCACTGAACTTCTACAAAGTTAACTAAGCTTTACCGAAGTTAGTTTTAAATGTTGTACTTCTAGAAAGCTTCCAGAACTTCTACACAGTTCAGTGTTTGGAAATCTGTCAATATTCAATTAAACTACCGTGTGTCAGGTTCTTAACTGTTCATGAATAGATATTCACATAAATATGAGTGAAGTGTCAGATGCCTTTGCCAAATAAGAGTATTCAGTTTTGTAGCACCAAATGAATGAACGAAACGAAGAACCAACTCTGGCAGTAGCAAAGCGCAGCTAGGTACATAAGCAACATTCCTTCGTCCTGCGACACCTTAACGAAGAAATGGAACGAAGATAAGCTAGTTAGTTTAGATTTATTTTGAACACGAATTAATGGAACTAGTTGGACTATAGTACACTTCATGGTTGGTTTAAAATGAATGGAACTAAATTTATATACAGTCAATAAAACTCTGATAAACTCTGATTTTAAAGTTATATGTAGAGATAACTTCCTTGTGTCTTCGGGAAAGTTGTTTATTGTCCTCCTTTTGGTACAATTTGTCTTCCAGTGGGACAAAGAATGGTCCTCTGTACGATCCGGAACATCCGTAGAAGTGGTAAATTCATGAAATTGGAGTTAGAGCTGCGCAGTTTTTAGCGTAAGTACTTATTGATAAGTTTTAAGAAAACATATGGGGTTTTGGCCCAAATATGTACCCTGGAGGGCTAAGGCTGGTCCATTGAAAGATTCGAAACATGCGTAAAAGTAGTCAATTCATTAAACTGGTTCTAGAGCTCCATGGTTTTTGCGAACACACTTGTTGATGTGTTTTTAGAATTAATTTTACATTGTGGCCAAAATATGGACCCTGGGGATCACAGACTGGT